CTGCCCCATCCCTGGCAGTGTTCAAGGCCAGGTTGGATGAGGCTTTGAGCAACCTGGTGTAGTGGAGGGTGTCCCTGCCCATGGCAGGGGGTTGGAACTGGATGGTCTTGAGGTCCCTTCCAACCCAAACTGTTCTGTGATTCTATGATCTTTCCAGTGTATTTAAATCATAGAATAATCGGAGGCTTTGGGTTGGAAGGACCCTTTAAAGATCATCCAAGTCCAGCTCCCTCACACCATGGGCAGAGACACCCTCCACTACACCAGGTTGCTCAAAGCCCCATCCAACCCAATCTTTAATGCTTCCACAGATGGGACATCCAGAACTTCTCTGGGCAACCTGGTCCAGTGTCTTATCACCCTCCCTGTTGAAAAAAATTTCTTCCATATAACCCATCTAAATCTACCCTCTTTCAGTTTAAAACCACGGTTCCTTATCTTGTCCCCACAGGCCTTGGTAAAAAGTCTTTCTCCATCTTTCTTGTAAGCCCCCTTTACATACTTAAAGGCTGCAATAAGGTCTCCCTGGAAACTTCTCCAGCTGAGCAACCCCCATTCTCAGTCCGTTTTCATGGGAGAGGTGTTCCAGCCCTCTGACCATTTTTGTGGCCTCCTCTGCACCTGCTGCAACAGGTCCATGTGTCTTGTGCTGGGGACCCCAGAGCTGGACGCAGTGCTCCAGCAGGAGGGGGTCTCAGGAGAGCAGAGCAGAGGGCCAGAATCACCTCCCTTGACCTGCTGGCCACCCTTCTTTGGATGCAGCCCAGGATACGGTTGGCTTTCTGGGCTGCAAAACGAACATAGCTGGCTCGTGTCCAGTTTTTCATCCAGCAGTATCCCTGAGTCCTTCTCTGCGGGAAAGATCAAACCTCAACATCATGGAATGCCCCAGGAGCACTGCCTCCCCAAGGAGGATGCCAATGTCTTACGTGGAAGCAGCTCTCCATGCCTTTCTTCCATACCTGTCTGGGGAGGTTGAGGAAAGAACCTGGTATCTTTGATACAAAATCCAGAGAATTTAGCTCTCAAGCCACAATCCATCCCCATTACTGCCTTTGGGACTAACTGCTGATGAAAGCAACGCCGTTGCTTCATCAGCTCTAGGGCTCTTCCACAGAGGTGGTCTCAATCCCTGGAATCCCCCTTTCATCCTTTCACTGAGAACTACAGCTCGCAGGGCTTCCTTCTGAGCAGAAGTAGGAGGAGTCATGACAGCCTCACAACCTGGGGAAGGGAACAACTGGAAGAGAAACCTGGTATGAAGACCTTTGGATGTGGCTGAGATGCTCCAGGTAACCCCTTTCCCTCAGTGACAGGTACTACCTGGCAGGGCAGCAGAGAAGGTACGAAGGCAGACGGCTGACTTCCAGAATTCCCACATCCTATACTCACTTTCGGAGGGGATTAACAATCTCATCCCGCAGAATGCTCTGGACGTTCCGGTCACACAGCGGGAAGGGCTTGAAGAGCATGGAGTCCAAGGCGGACGTACAGGAGAAGAGGCTGTGAAAAGAGGGCGCTGGGTAAGTCTGACGGGGTTGCAGCAGGAGTTGGAACCAAACCAGGTGCCTGGGGACGGCTGGTGGCTTTTATTTCCGACAGGCAGTGACAGAGAGGCGAGGGACAGCGCGTCTCCGCGGTGAGACAAACCACATCCAGTTTAGTGACACCTTCAATGAGCAAGGAAACAGCTCAGAGGGAACGAAATCTCGTCCTTGGCAGCCAAAACTGCTCCTGGGGGGCACCACGGAGCCTCTTCCTCTCCGAACAGCGCTGCACAGGGAAGCTGGGACCTCCGAGCGCTGCCCAGTTTAAAAAAAAAA